TGAGAATGACAAGCCTGGCTCTTCGAAAAGGTTCTCTGTTTGGTTAATTGTTGTAGAGGATTCTTAACCATGGAAATTATTTTGTGATCTTTAAATTCAGTTTCCTTCTGTGGATCTTCAGGCCTTTTTATATTGCTGCGTTAATTTTTGAATTTTAATCTCATATTTAGTTCTAGTGAGCAGCTAGTTGAACACCGCCTCCAGATCATTTATCAACTTAATTTGTCATAAAGTAACAAAGAAGCAGGCTTCGCCTGGCCATTAATCTGCTTATCAGTCAATTGTCCAATTAATTTTGATCCTCTGAAAACAGAGGGATGTGTATAGAAATGCCTTTCATTCCTAAATTGTTAATGCTATGGTGTTAAATCACTTGAATTAAAAGCTGACAGTCAGCATTTCAATAAAAAACATGATTTCATGTAAAATTCACTGTGCTGATGTACAGAGGTAAAATTACAAAAGACAATCACCGTCCAAAAACGTGGAACAGCAAAGAACTGATAAAGGAAAAGGACTAATGTAAGCATGCATTATAAATAAGACTGTTCTATAACTGTCCTCCTTTTTAACATCAGCTGTGTCGATATTTTAATAGATATATTCAATAGCACTGTAGTAGAGGATGAATACATAAAACCTCCTTTCCCTTTGGGAGGGAGGCGATGTTGACACCAGTAACCTTTCGAGCTCCTTACAGCTGTTGCAACCAGCTTCCCTGGCAGTCAAGCTCTGCTTTAAGTTATTTCAAAATTAAGCTATAACAGACAAATGAATAAACTGTTCAAGCTGTGATGGCTTACAATCCGTCTTACACACCCTCACAGGCAAACACACATTTGTGTGGCGTTAATCATTCCCCGGTGGCTGATAGAACAGAGACAGGTCATTAAGTCTCGACAGTGTTCATAAACTGTACTTTATTAACTGTCCTCTTCTTTCGCCCACTGACACACACAGACACAAATTATTTTGCTTTTTCAAAAGGCACTTTGCTTCTACTCTGTCTGCGTATCACCTATCCTCAACCGTTCCCTCATACGTTTTTCTTCCGCTCCATCTCTCTTTTGTGAGAGGGCTGACAGTTAATTGGGAGTGTGTTTTAATGAGCTGGCCCTGAGATTTTATCTTCTCCTTTCATTAGGAAGGGAAGACAGGGGAGAGTGTGTCAAGGAAGTGAAGGAAGAGGGAGAGAGAGTAAAGGAGGCAAGGAATGAAACGAGAGGAAAAAATGTCAGTGAATAGAGAACATCGAGAAGTTTTTAGTAAGTGCTGTGGAGAGCTCTGTGCGTGTTTGTTTATTTGTTAATGAGCTAATCAATAGCAGAGGTGTGTAAGCCCAGCAGTGGGTCTGCTTTGGGAGATTACTTACAAAGACGCACAACTTGGAAGACTTGTTTATCTACAATGTTCTTCTCTTATTTTTAAACTGGCCTGACTAGACTAAAAGTTGCTCATCTCAGGTTTCTCAGGCACAAGTCAGGACAATATAAACCTCAATCTCAATGTGAATCACATTGTGTCAAATCTACCATTTTATTTAAGCAACTGCACAGTTTGATTGTATAAAACAAAAATAAATAACAGTTTAAAAATAAAATTCTATTTCTAATACCATAGAGGAAACGAATACAGAAAAATCTACAGCAAGATTTGCAGCAAGGTCAAAAGTGTTTATGCATAAATAAACAACCTTTTCCAGTCATTTTTCAATATTTGATTTTTTTTTTTCAACCTATGGGCTTATGTGAACTCTTAAATTCACAAACGTTAATATAACACTCATTCGGCATCTTCTCCTTGAAGCTTCATGAAGAAAAATGCTAAAATAAGTCAATCACTCACATTCCTAAGGTGTTTATCTCTCTGATTAGCAGAGTCTCATAAATATCTAATCACTGATGCTAATCAGATTGCTCACCTAGGAGTGAGCTAAAAATATAAAGCACATGCACAAGCTACACTAAGCCCCCCCCCCCCAAAAAAACCTACCCTTTTCCTAGGTAAATAATGGCTTTAACAAATCTAATGTGACATTAACCCATTATTGATCAACCAACAACAGTTCTGCATAAACTCTGGGCAATGAAGATGATGATCACTGTTTCTTGTTGGCGGCACTAAAAGAATCACACAGTTACAGTCGGTTCTGATGCCTGCAGCTTTGATCTCCTTACACTTTAAGGCTGGCTGTTACACAGTCAGGCTTCAGACTAGTTGGTAAAACTGATCAAAAACAGCAGCATTTTGGTGCCAACATAATGACATTCCCTTTGACTTTGAAGTATATCGTGCAAACATATCAAAACAATTGACATCAAATGCTGTACAGGTCTATAACTATTATGGATGATAATATAAGAATTGTACCACAGCACATCAAACCTATAATTTTATTAATGCAGAACTTTACCATGAAAACCACACAAGTAATTTCCTAATCTCAAAGTAGACTCCAAGTCGATAAACCTTTTATTTTCCGTTTTTAGGTAAATTGCAAAGTTCAGCTGATTATGGCTGGATAATTAGATTTATAGTCAATTTTTACATTTTGGTTTAAATGAAGTTTGTAAATTATTAAAGCAGACCCTATAAAACGTTTTGAAGGCTCTGCTCTGTATTTACCTGTTGCCATGGTGAAATGTGGTGAAACTAAGATTGAACATGCTCAAAGTTGATTGAATTTTCTCTGATCAGGAAACTCAGAGTGGTTTTTTATGGTTTTAGTTCTTATGTTAATGCATTTCCATGTTCTAAGTAAAATGAGTCGAAAGAAGCTTGATCTGAACAACAGCATATATGTTGTCCCTATATCATCGAATCATTTTTCTGCTCCACATGATAGCCATACATCAGACATCAACCACAAACTGGAGCAAATATCTGAACTGCTGTGTTTAAAAGATTCAACTGACAAAATTCTTTTAGGGAAATCCAGAAAAAATAAGTTCTGAATATCAAAAACGTGTAAGCATATTCTAGTAGAACCAAAACATAAAACTGTGACCCTGTAAATGAGCAACATGTAGCCTCATTAACCATTTAAAACACCAAACTACAGTAAGGTTACAGGGCTGACAAACAATGAAAATACATTTTAATGAGTGTGACATACAGTAATGAATGCATGAGACAAGAGCGAGGGCAGGGGAACGTGACTACTGCAGGTTAAACAGCTTACGCTATAGGAGGGGGATTTGGGTGCCTCTTCTAGAGGGGGATATTAGCAGGATTATCTGGCAACCCTGTTGCTGAGGTGAATAACATTGGAATCCTATTTGTAAAGACTTCTATGCTTCCTGTCCCAAATCCCCCCATTTTATCTCCCTTCTCTCTTGCTTTATAGTACAATTAGTCCACTTTACATTCTCATACCCCAGATTAAAGTCACACGCATACTTAAAAAGCAGAATATATACACATACTGTATTTATGTGTCCTAGTGTGTATCCTCTTTAAAACATGAATGTCACTGTGTGTTTATGTGTGTTTATGTGTGTATGCGCGGGTGTTGATTTTTGTATTCCAATAATAGTACAGGCCTTTCTGCTCCCATAAGCCACTAAGTGTTTGTCATACACGCTCGCAATGGTGCATACTTTGAATACTAATACAGAGGGTGTTAGCATTCGTTTTGGGTATACATGTGTGGCTTTGTACATCTGTATGCACGTGCAGCCAGCAGTGGGAGGGTGAGGTGGTAGCAAGTGCTGTGCGGTGTGACAGAGTGTTGAGATTGGAACGAGTATGTGTGCATTTGAGTGTGACAGTGCGCGCCATGAGGGCATTATGACTGTGTGTGAGTCTGTATATGTGTGTGTTTTATGGACACACTCTGAGGTTAATAAATATTGACAGTGAATTATCTCTTCTGGCAGAGTCGCAGGTGGTTTCGATGGAGCAGACCGGACAGAAATCAAAAGAAAAAACAAAAAAAAGTGCATGTGCACGTTTACACACCGCTCCTATTTTATATTTTTCCTTTTTCAGCTATTCTTAATTTCAGCAGAATTCTCGAGAGTCCTTGAGCAAGGCACTGATGACCAGTCGCAATAAATTAGCATGTGACAGCAATAATTACCTGCCAAGATAATAAAGCCGCCCCTCTGCCACCTTGCCCTTACGGATTCTCCAGGGTTTCTGGTCTAGCTAGGGGCCGCCATCAGAACACGACAGCCGCAGCAACATGGAAATTAGCTAATGCTACACAATTGGGCTACAGAGAGAACGAGAGACAGACTGAGCAATAAGCAGAGGTAAAAACAAAACTCCAGGATGGAAAGATGAGAGGAAAGTAAAAGAGTTAAAAAAACTCTGGATTTTTCTCTGTTAAGCTTAAAGAAAAGTGCTTTCTAAAAAGCTAAGGGATAATGACAAATTCAGCTTTTATTTAGCCCATTCAATAAGTGAGTGGTGATCGATTAATGTAAAACCCACCCTGTGACACTGCCCAGTCATCACTCTCTTCTTCTCTTCCACACAGACGCTGCCAGTCTCCCACACATACAAATTTAAACCACAAAGCAAAGAGTCTCTGTTGGCATAGTGCTCGTCTCGCTGCATCGCTAAGCCGATGCACAATGTGGCAAAGTGATGCGGCACCTTGCAAGGTCAAATCTAAACTTCCCGAGGCGCTTTTTTGTTTTTTAAAAGAGCTCCCTGGGACAGATATCAACACTTACACAGATGCCATAGCCTGTAGGAGTTTTGCTGACAGTGTGCCCATTTTAACTTCACGCTGCTGTTTAATGATGCACACGATCTGTGGCTAAAAGCTACATGTTTCCATATCTGATCAGTTCAGGTCTGTATATAAAGAAGGATGTAAAATAACACAAACCCCCCCCAAAAAAACGTGTTACTTGTATGCAAGGCTGGATTATCAGTGTACATATAAATTTCAGGTCTTGTTTCAGCTTCTAATTATTGTTCTTATTTATTTAAATTTAAAATATTGTGGCATTTGACGGCATCCCCAACCTTAGATGAACTCTTCATACCTTTTTGAAGAGCAAGGAGTCATCCATGTGCTCCGCGTAGACAGACGTGAGCCGGTATTGGTTCTCAGTGGTTATATCGATCTGGTAGCCGGTCAGGACGTAGCACACTGTGCGAAACTCCTGTATTTTTCTCTGAAACACCTCTTTAAGTCTCTGGTTCCTCAGCTCTGAACTCTCCATTTGTTTACGCAAATCTGCAACACACAAATCAGTTATACAGCACAGTTATTTTGATAGCATAGTTATATGCTATCAATATGTAGAGTTTCTGGAATAACTCCAGCAACTTAAATAAGCATCTCAAAGACTTGATATTATTAAATAGCAAAGCCATAAAAATAAAGATTTAGTCAATTTAAATAAACCTGGATTCTGAACGCACAGAAGAAAAAGACTACAAGTGGGAGACAAAAGCTCAAACCAGGGTGGAGAATCAGATAAAGAGTCCAGTGGAGAGCCTAGCATGGAACTACTTAACATTTGAGGGCGATGACCAGGGGGTGATAACTGATTCCCAAAAGGCAATATTTAAATCATTTCCATTTTTGCTTTTCAGACCAAGAGAGGAAGATGTGCAATTAGATCTGCGAACGCTTTTCAATTTAACATCCATGAACATTCAGAGTATCAGAGTATTATCCTTCTCATGGTATAGAGCACAAATACGTTACTATTTAGTTTGAGATGGGTGGAATTAAATCATCGATGAACCATAGGCTGAAATATTAGCAATGCCTAATGTTGCATAAATATTTAATGTTACAGCCATAGTTACATTAATCATCCAAACACTGCTGCCTGTCTCCCATCAATGATATAATTTTACCATTTTAAAGTTTCCCAGTTAGTTAAAATAACTTTTTATTAAAGAGTTTATGGTGTTTATGTTTAGCAACATAAACTGGGTGTAGAGAATCATGTACTCATCTACTGCTTTTGTTACCAACTACTAAATATCGTGACACCCCTAGATACCAGCATCAAAAAGTTGTGAATGATATCAATCTCTACCCCACAGCAATCCCTCTGCTCACTCAGGGTCTACATACTACTATAAAGCAGAGCACGGTGGCGTCTGAAGCAGTCAGCTGCATCTCCTAGCTGGGAGCAGAGATAATCATGAAGGGGAGAAACAGAATGGGGCTTGACTTTAATTTGTTGAAAATCAATTTGGGATAATTACTTTAATTTGGAGACTTGATTTGAGAAGTCAGAGAAATTAGTTTGTCTGAGGAAAAAATGAGTCGTTGTGGAGGTAATTATTTACAATGTGATCACCACAGAAGAGAAAGTTAAAAGGATATAGATGCAAATGTGGAGCCATGAACATTTTGTAAGTACACAAGTGGTAAAAGGAGAGCTGGGAAAGGAACAACCACAAAGAGGCAAATATTTACTTTTTATAGATATTTGTGCCAATCTTCTCAACACTGTGATGTATGCAAATCTGAGAAAATGTAAAAAGAAAAAAAAAGAAAAACGAAAAAGAAAAAACGAGTGCAGGCAGGAGCACCGTAAAGACTATTAACCAAAAAAACATGGAGGGAGATGATGTAACCAGGCAAAGAAAATGCTTACCTAACGCCTCTGAAAAGCTTGGTGTTTGCTACTGATTTTTTTAAAGGTTAAAAGCATTTCTGCTGCTCAAATGTGAACCTACATTGTTCAGGGTTATACCTTACTTAACAACCAGTCCTTTTCACTTTTTTCCTCTCTCTCTACAGTCAGCATCAGTCAGTCAAAACTCTCTATTCTCTTACACCATGATGCGTCGTTTCAAGAGCAGTCAGGGAGTTTTTATTCCCATAACTTCTAACCCTGCTGCGACTGATAATTATTTCTACTCATCATTCTCCTCTTCATAGCGTATAGCTTGGCCGATTACATTTTTTATCTGTCATTATTAAACAAGTGAATGACTAGAAAGTATAAACTTAAGAGTCTGGGACTGAGCCTGCCAGTGAGTGTCTACGTGCCTGTCTGTCTCCTGGGTGACTGGGCTCCTCTCAAGTGTCAGTCACCGCGGTTAAATAGTGTTTCAAGACTTCAGAAATGTGACAAAACTGTCACTTTATGACAGCCATCAAAATGCCCTGAAAATGGTTGGGAATTCTCAGGCTGCAGCAACCAATACATTTCCTTCTCCGTGCAGACAAGTGGACACACAGGAATGTGGACATGTCGTTATCTGTGCAATCGCAAAGACAAACACGTACAAGTGGGCACACAAATGTGTCAACGTACGTGTTGAGTTACTAAATCCGAGTATTAGTTAGAATACTTTTCACACAAACTTTTACAGTTTTGGTGACTTCTGTATTTCAGTCTTGATTGGCGTCTACAGGTCTGTGTACATAATGGCTCAAAAGCTGCCAGCTGCATAGGGAGCGTCTTATTTATATATTTTCTTCTCTCATTTTCAGTCTAAAATACTGCTAAAATTTGCACTCGTATCAGAAGCAAAAACAAACAAAAACTAAACTAAACTGTAGTGTCCCAAAACATCTGCAAACGTCTTGAGCCACCCCTCACATCATTATATAAGGGAAATGGGAAATAGGGGCAGCGATTTACTGAAAAGTGCAAACATGCATAATCAATATTTAGTAAGACCATTTTTATTCTTACTCTTCAACACAGCCTGAACTCTCTTAGTCAAGCTTTCTTTTCATTTCTTTAAGTAGTCTTCAGGAACATTTCCCCAGGCTGTTCTCTGTCAGGATGATCCCACACTGCTTCAATAATGTAGAGGTCTGGCCTCTGGGGAGGCCCATCCATGACTGATAGTGTTCCACTGTATGTTTTTCTATTCAGGATCATCATCATGCTGAAAAGTTGTCCAGTTGCCCACTTGTATAATTTGCCATATGTCAGGCTTTACTACCCATTAACTACCCTTTCTAAAGATGTGGCTTTCAGATAATGATACTTTTATGCCTGCCACTTCTTCTGGCCTCCACTTGTTTTTTGCTGAGATAAGTTTTCAGCTAATAATTTTTGAGAATCATAAAAAAACTATATTTTAAAACCTCTCAAACTGTAATATTTAAAGTTTTCATAGATTTGAAATAAAATTTAAAAAAATCTCTGCACACATGAACCAAGAGAAAGGTTCCACAACAATTAAAATGCAACTCATGCATACTGTCTCGATAACCACTACGACACTTATTAAATCACAATGTTTCAGTCTGACTGACTTGATAAAGGTACCTGATGGAGCTAAGTGAGACAGTGTGCGGAGGTTGTATTTAAACTGTTATAGATTTTCATTAAGAAATGGGTACAAATGGGTACAGGCTGCTAATAACTGCTTCTTTGCAAAGTTATCTGACTTACCCCTCGAGTTAGGTGCCTGTTTAATGCTTTAATGATTCACAGTTAGTGTTAAGTGGCTTAAGAAACCAAAAAGAAACAAACTAAAAAAAACATTCATCTGAAATTGTACGAGGACTGGACTGAAAATGAATGAAAAAGCATCCAAAGTCCAAAGAAAAACTTTGAAAGACCTATAAAGACCTAGAACTACTGCTCAAGACAACTTATAAAAAAGATGATGATTATTTATTATTATTATCATCATCATTAAAGTTCATTTCCCAGCTGTATTTAATGAAATAGTAATTTGTAACAGCAAGAGTAAAAAGTTAAAGCCCTGATTTTTTTCTAATTCTAAACTTACTTTTAAATTTTGTCATCACAATTGTCCAGTATTAATGTGTGAAAAATGCAAAAATGTGGAAACTCATCATCAACACCCAGGGCAGAACTAAGAACCGCTGGTGTATAAAACTGGACAGTAAATTTTACTAATTAAATGTAATTAAAAATGGAAAACATTTTCTACCTGCTGCTAACTGCTACATGAAGTATTGTTCCTGTAATGTTGCTTAGGTAATTTCTTAACTGAACACACAAAGCCTATAGCCAAGTTAAACTACTACTGACAGCAGGGTAACACTACATGGGGTAAAATGTCATTAAATAATTTTATAGACATTAAAACGTTTCTGTTGATCTCTGATAAGTTTGTAGACTTTCTATTGCACTGACCCATGTCTTGCAATAAGGACAGATATCACACACTAGGTCTGCTTTATCTATACAGAGTTTAAACTGAACTTACTTGTTACAAACTCAATTTTCATATCATAAGAAATTAAAAGCCAGAGAAGCGAACATGTCAGGAACAGGAGAAGATGACAGAAAAGACAAGAGTGAAAGATGAGAAAAAAATAAGAAGGCTGGGAGTTGGAAAAAAGAAGTGCCAAGAAAATTGAGACCGTGAGCGAGCAGCAGACAGACAGAGCGAGCACAGAGCGCTGTGCACAAATTGGCCAACAGACTTTTACCAGTGAACTGTCCTGAGCTCCAAATGCATATTTAACCCTGTCATAACTGCACGTCCTCCCTCTAACAGTCTGTCATATAGACACTTAAGAGGACAGAGACTTTCTGAGCCAAAATATCAATGAAGCAGTTCCCAAGAGCAACATGTTCCTTTAGAAAGCAACTGTTGGGTATGGCTTTTCTCTTTTTTTGCCATTTCATATTTTTTGGATCAGTCTACATGTAAAGAGGACCTTTAACAACCTTTAAAATCTGTACTTTTTATGTTGTCTAAATATCCACTTCCCCTCTAATGTTAACTATAACATTATATAACAATATAATTAAAAAGAGAAAATCTAGTCATCGGATCAGAAAAGCTTCATCCATGGATCAAACCCTCCCTTGGCCCCTTATCCATTCATCTAACATCAGCTATCCGAAACCTGGATCTGCAATTTCACCTTAAAATATATAAACAAGGTCACCCAGTCCTCCTCCTACCACCTAAGGAATATTGTGAGGATATGAATAATACTGACTTCTAGTGACACCCATACTATCAGTCATGCTCTTATTTCCTCTCAGATTACTGTAATTGTCTTTTAACAGCCATCAATCATATTATTCCACTCTTAATGATGGTATACTGGCTGCCTTTGACTTCTAGACATTACCTATTACTTTTTAAGCCCTGTTTGCTGTTGAATGACATTATAGCTCACTCTTATTCTGATGTCACACTTCTGTGTCATCTTACCCAATACTTCCTTTGAAGGAGCCAAACTAAGGCTGAAGCTGGGGTTGTGCGTGTCATCCTGGGAATGCCCCACAGCACCTCCACTCTGCAAAGAGCGTACAAGATCCCTGAGCCGTGTCACTTCTTGTCGGAGAGCCTCCACTTCCTGCTGGCGCTCTTGTTTGGCAATGGCGATGGGGTTCACTTTGAGGTGGAGAACACGGGTTTTGACTGGATCGTAGTCTCCCTGAGACACAGAGACATAGATCAAACAGCCATCAGTTATAGAGCAGAACATTTTTTATGCACCATCTCATCTTAGCATCCAGGGCGCCTCACATTCCTCACTCACAGCAGTGATCATCACGCTTCAGTTCACCTCGCTGTTGCCAACTCAACAACTCTGTCAGATTTAGTGACTTTTCATATTCTTTTACAGAGCGCTTTTTCCCTGAAAAATAAGAATGCCTTGTGACAAATGCAGGAGTGTAATGACCAAAGAGTGGAAAGTTGCATTCCCCTGCCTGAGTCTCTTCTCTGTTCGATGAGTGCCCTAGATGAGCAGGCAGCAGCACCCATGAAAAATCTGATTCCTTAAAAATGACTGCCTTTAAGGAACCCGGTGTCCTTCCAGTCATTATCAGCTTTGTAGCTTTGATAAACGAAAACTGGCAGCAATAGCTCTATTAATGCCAAAGAGTTACCACACCAAATATTGACTTAATTTAGCTGAGCCACAATATCAATGATTTCTATCATTAACTTCTTTGTGATAACACAAATACTGACAGCAACAAGTAAATAACAATAAGAAATTAAAATAAACGGAGAGAATACAAAATATAACCAGGCCAAACAAAAGAGAAGACGAAAAGTCCGAAATATTTAATGTACAATAATGATCCTACCGTACTTTTAAATACTGATCATTTGAAAACTACATTAATTAAAAGACTTGTACTCTGCTCTCATCTTGGGATGTCAGATCAGGTCATTACAGTTTTACACTCATTGTAATTATAACGTTCCACACATGTTCTAACACGCGGAAACACCCCAAAACACGTTCCTTTGGTGTGAGACCAACATGTGCAAGAAAAACCCTGCAAACCTTTTATAACCAATTTCAGTTGCTATACATGGAGAGAAATGGTTACAACTGATCTCACATTACAGATTGGGAGAGGAGGTTAGCATAAAAAAATACTCGACAGTGTGATCGAAAGCTCTTGACGTTCACGTGAGCTTTCCCTATGAGGAAATAATGTTTTCAGTTATATCAAACAGACACATTAAAGAGAAAGTATTCTTTCCCAGTGTTTTCTTCTCACTCTGCAAGGTCTGGCTAAATAAAAGTCGCTTAATGCCAATATAAGGAGAGACACACTCAAACAGGAACGCTCACAACATGTACACACCCCTATCTGAGCTCTTGATTACAGGCTAAATTAGATTCTATATGCCTCCAAGCGACGGTTGCCAAATAAACTACAGAGTAAAAGACAGAAAAGAAGAAAGAGTATATGAGGAAGAGAAACGGTGAAGGACAAATAAAAGAACATGGTAAAAAACAAACGGTGTCCGGGTACCACTGCCTTCAGCGTCGAGAAAGACCAGAGTGGATGAAGCGTACAGAAAAGCTCATAAATAACTCTTTCATGTACTTTATAAGAAACGATTACATTTCTCGAACTGAGTAACAGTAGATGTGTGTACTTAACATCAAGTATTTTTCCACAGCACACACACAGTCACAGCCAAACAAATTGCCCTTTCATTTTCTTCAACTTCAGTCTTTTGAAGTTCTACATCTGTTTACAGAGAGTTTATTTAAAGCTGCATCTGTATGTGCCTTATGATAACCAGAGAGAGAAAATGGAAGGAAGAGACAGATATGTAGATTAGAGTTCGAAAAACGCAGTCATGCTGTCAAAAAGCAAAAAAAATAAATTAAAAATCTTCGTCTTTAAAAATTTAGGTCAAGCTGAATTAAATTAGAAAGATTTTGCTGTGGATTCATATTTCACTTTCAGGATGTCTGGACTGAGCTGAAGGGCAACGTTTTAATTTACTGCTCAACAGAATAAAAACAAACTAAACTAAACAAAAAACAAAAGCAAAGTTACTTCTCTTTGCCTTTCAAGCACATTGCTTTCAAAGCAAGCCAAATGGCATAATTATTTTTAATTGGGTTGACTCTCCTCCTATATTGAACTGAAAGTAAAAAAAAAAAAAGGAAGTCTTTAAAAAGGCATCCATTTGCTTGTCTGAATCTATTTGCCATTTTCACATTTCATAACAAAAGTAATACAGTGAATAAAGTGTGATCCACTGATCTAAAAAACACACACACAAAAAAAAGGACAATCATCTCCAAAATGAGCAAATGTAATATTACACTTTATTCTGCATCCATGTCTGCATTCAGTAGGAAAAAAGGTGCACCATTTCATTAAAAATTATAAATACGTTTATTGCTGCAAAAACAGAAAACAGCCAAATTGTCTGAGTTTTCAAAGCGAGCTTCTTAATATTACAGTTCTTCAGATTTTGTAAGTTGGTGTGTGTGTGTGTAGACGTATTTACATGCATATTATAGAGCCTGTTCTTCCACACATAATTTACAGTGCAGCAAGGTGGAATGCCATTCTAAGTGCTCGAGGCTACATATCTCTTATTCATAGAACAACAATAACAACACATCTAATACCAGAGTGCAGTCTGTTAAAAAAATAAAAAATAAAAAAAAGAGCAAAAGGCAGGGAGAGAGGGAGCATCGGAGCAAGATCAAATGTATGAGGAAGAAAGAATGAATAAGAGAACAAGACAAGAATACGAGTTTTGGGGGGAGGTTGAAGTCCAAAGAACAGTCTCTGTTCTTTAACAGATGCAGAACAAATTGCGCTGAAACATCCACTTATATACTCAACACAGCACCAACCACAGGGGACACATGAGTCACTGATGGAACAGGTGACACATTAATGATGAGTGTGCATGAATCTGAGAGTGGAGGGTACCATCAACCTTAAACCACACGAACCGATAAAGTGAGGTTGAATGGAAAGACAGCAGAGATGCTGGCGAGACGGGCTTCTTCCACTGAGTGACATTATCAGAAAACAGATTGAAGCTGCTGTCTAGATATTGGCAGGCTAAAGGCTCAGTCCTTTAAAAAAAAAAAAAATCTGTCCAGAAGATCAGATGCATTTTAAGGACCAGATCAAATTGAACTGTGATGTACACTCACCCCATCCGCCAAGAGTGGAACAAGACTTTATTTGAAGTAATTTTAACATTTTTTGAACAAAAAGGGAACAGTTTTCACTTATCCATTTCTATTCTTTTTACTTTTATTTTAGTGTGATTTTAGTGAGAGGAAAATATTAATACTCATTACCCACCATTCACACCTAGAAGCTGCCTGGTACCATCCACTCTCACATCTGCTTGCCAATGGACAAGCACCAGTACACACGACTACTACCCACCCAGGATAGTTTGGAGATTTGACACAAGAATTGGTAACTTGTGTGTCCCATGTTTGCCTCTTTAATTCTTCAGTGACCACTGTTGGGACAATCCCTATTAAAAGATGCAAGTCACTTTGTCTGATAGCTGACATCTCAAAACTCCATCCATCCATCCCTCCCTCCCTGCCTCCTGGGGGCAGGAGTCTAAGCAGAGATCTCTAACCACTTCCAAGAAGCTCTCAAGAGATCTCTTTAGTGTGTGTGTGCCCAGTGGGAGATGCCCTGAACAACTCCAGGTCATATGCCAAAACTACCTCAACCAGCCTCTTTCACGGTGCGAGTAATGACTCAACTCAGACACGTCAGCATTCTCATTTTTCCAGTCACTACCAAGAGCTTTTGACCACACATGAGGGTAGGAAAGTAGACTGAACGGTCAACCAACAGCTTACAGGCCCATGTGGCTCATTCAGTCACATGGGCCACCACAAACTGAATTTCATTAACACGGCACTGACCTATGCCTAACATGTGGACAGCTTTGGTTTTAAGTAAAACAAAGTGCACAAGCACGTAACTTGAGAATAAACAAAAGAGACTTGCTGCTTCTATGGAACAACTGTGTGATGTCAACTGGCAAACAAACACAGCAAGCAGAAACCCTAGTGTGGCCTCCTGTGACACAGGCAGGCTATGAGAAACTCAGAGCAGTTGCTGAATAGGTACTATATCCCTGTCTCAAAGGCAATGAGGGAACTAGGGCTGTATCTTTGTGGAGGTTCCACTCCAATGGTTATTCCTGAATGGGTGAAATTTGTGGATGACGAGCTATCTGCAGCACAGATGTCCTGATAGTGACTTGAAATTGGCTCCCTGTTGTTAAGCAGACATGAAGTGGAGCCTGAAAGCTCAAGACAGAGTTAGGAGAAGTAAAGTCACAGTCTCCGCTAAGAATGTTTTGGCTTACCAGCGTAAGGCTTGGACAATCTGGTATTCTTTGATAAAATCCTATCTAAGTTACGGTTAGACACATGAAAAGAACAAACAGCAGATTCTACGTCGTTCTGAAGAGCCAGGAAGCTGCAGATCAAGGGCTCCAAGAACCACAGGTGTCCATGAGGTAACCACCGACAGTGTAGAATATGAAAGTAAATACTGTGACATCACCCATTGTTTTTTAAAGTCCTGTTCTGAAGCCCCAAGATGAGCGTTTACACCGCCCCATCTTGGTTGCAAAATAGCACAGGTTTAAGGCATGTCCTCTCTCCCCATCAGGGCCCTACATCCATATTTTATACTGATTCAGATTCCTTGGTTTCTGTGTCATAATATATTAAGTGTGTATCATTGAGAGCACCTTCACATCTATATCTTCAGCTGGATTTGAGCAGGTCTAAAAAAAACCCACCAGGTCTGTGCACAGGCCCACAGCAGTTTTCTATGTAATATTAATATAGGAATGACTGTCAGGCAATGCCATAGGGACCCAGGCCTTAGGGATTCATGGATGAGCAAGAGGAGATGAGGGCCTTGCCTACAAAGCATGAAGGTCTGCAGAGCAGTACCATGTCACATGGAAGACCAAGTTTTACGGGCTCCTCCTTAGTATCAAACCTCCCACATGTAGACAGATCAGTAGAAATGATGCTGTCAGGAATAACTAGAATGCACAATGTCATCTTCTCTTCTGCCACATGTATAAACCAAGTCTTTGCATGACCACTCTTGTGTCTTGCAGCTCTTATTTATTTTGTTACTTAAAAAACTGAACATT